TAGCATAGGAGGAGAAGAGGGGTTGTTCTGCTCCATCATGTGTATGTGGAAAGGCTCACCTCTTGCAGAGATTTAAGCACAATCAATCCTAGGGTTGTACTTGAGGGATGTTAACTGCAGTATGGGGAAAAAACAGCGCACTCTCCTGAGTGATGCCTTGCCTACTGAACAAGAGCTCCCCAATTGAAGCAAAATGATCCTCATGTACTAATATGAAGCACGACCACAAAGCAGCCGGCCATTTATACCAGCACTTTAGACAAAGATATTTAGTTATTCCAGGGTAGCAAGAGCACTTTTGCATTTTTAAGTATGAGCAAGCATGGTATAAACACATTTACAAGAGCAATTACTAAATACTTCTAAAATGCTCTAAAGTCATTGGGTTAACCGCACCACCTCTGCCGTGCTGCTCTTAATATAAGATTTTATTAGATTACTTCCAGGGAGGTGACCTAGACTGAGATCTGTTCTTCCAGCCTGTCTGATACTTCTCTCTACAGACAAACACACAGGCGTTCATGGATGGAGGATAGAAAGAGAGATAGATAGATAGATAGATAGATAGATAGATAGATAGATAGATAGATAATAGATAGATAGATAGATAGATAGATAGATAGATAGATAGATAGATAGATAGATTGACACAAAAATATATACTGTAAATAATGTATTAATTAAAAATTGACTCTTGATGTTAGCTACATCATTCATTTGACAATGAGATTGATATATAAATAGATGATAGATATTTAAAATATTGATAGTTACTATAGATTACAAATAAGAGTCTAGTGTACAAATGAAACATGATAACAAACAAAAAAAACGTATTAACCTCCATTAACATTAGGCATTCAGAAAATAAATAATACAGTTGCTGCGTTGTAACGTTTTATGCTTTCTCATTAGCGCATGTATGATAAAATTACAAATAAATTGTGATATAGATAGATAGATAGATAGATAGATAGATAGATAGATAGATAGATAGATAGATAATTAGATACCTTTTTAAAATAAATAATAAACAATGTTCTGTCTTACAGCACATTGTGTTATTAATAAACAACATTACATTGATAACATTGCATCCAAATTGACACCAACTAGTTGCAAATTATGTACTAAAGGAGGATGATACATAGTCATGCAGATATAGAAAGATAGATAGATAGATAGATAGATAGATAGATAGATAGATAGATAGATAGATAGATACTGATATACAGTACAGATAATGTTGATGAATAAATATACTTTGACATGTAAAAAGATAGATAGATAGATAGATAGATAGATAGATAGATAGAAGATAGATAGATAGATAGATAGATAGATAGATAGATAGATAGATAGATAGATAATGTTGATAGATGATTATACATTGACATGTACAGATTGATAGATAGATAGATAGATAGATAGATAGATAGATAGATAGATAGATAGATAGATAGATAGATAGATAGATGTCCTTCTAACATAAATGCATATACAAGTGTCATTTCATAAATCGGCTAATCATGCCTGACAATAAGAAGTGAAAGTGTTCTTTATTCTTGATCAATGTAGTGAATAAAGGCCCGGTGTAAGGTGTTTACCGTGTGATCAGCATGTAAGCTAATTAGCAGCGCTCGGTGCGGCTCCATTGTCTGGCGTTCAGCGCTGGCCCCGCCTCTGCTGCCTAAAACCTGGCGCCTGGCTAAAACAAACGCAAAGAAAGCTCTGAGCTCCACTCAGCCCAATTAAGGCGGACTTCAGCCGCTCTCTTACGTGTACACCCAACAAGATCGGCGTTAAGGCAACACCAGAATATTTGGCGAAAAAAAAAAAAGAGGAGAGAGGGAGAGTTTTTTTTTCTCCTAGTCTCAGAAACATGTCGATGAGTCCCAAGCATACTACTCCCTTTTCAGTGTCTGACATATTGAGTCCTTTGGAGGAGAGCTACAAGAAAGTGGCTATGGAGGGCACTGGCTTGGGGGCTCCCCTGGCTGCCTATAGGCAATCTCAGGTGTCACAGCCTACTATGCAGCAGCATGCTATGGGCCACAATGGACCAGTGAGTGCTGCCTACCACATGACAGCTGCAGGGGTCCCTCAGTTATCCCACACCACCATGGGAAGCTACTGCAATGGCAACCTGGGCAACCTGGGCAATATGAGCGACCTGCCACCCTACCAGGAGACCATGCGGAATGGTTCGGCTACTGGATGGTATGGGACCAACCCGGACCCCAGATTTACTACAAGTAAGTGCAACTAAACTCTTTCTGCATGGCTGTGAAAACGCCTCATATTTACATGGACAATTTTAAAGGGAATTGTTAGAGATCATTGTGGAATTCATATTTCTATTAGCAAGTTTAGAATCGGTGTATGTTAAACTTGGGGTCATGGCTGCAGGGAGACGAATGACAAACGATCAGCCGGTTCACTGCTGAAATCCTTTAAGCTGATAGGTGAAGTAAGACCTGTAAATGGCTGAGACATTCTGATGGAGAATTACGGTAGCCCTTATATTATGTTAACACAATGCTTCTTTTATGGGTCTAACTTTATGTGCCTCTTACAACTCTATCCCTGTTATTCATCCATCCATCCATCCTAGAATTTATAAATCCATACACTATTTATTCTTCTTCCAAAAAGACACTTCAATAGTTTCGTTTTTCTTTCTTTCTTTCTTTCATCTATATTTTTTATCTATCTTTCTATCTATCTATCTATCTATCTATCTATCTATCTATCTATCTATCTATCTATCTATCTATCTACCTATCTACCTATCTATATGTCTGTCCATCTACCTATCTCTATTTATCATTTCCTATTTGCCTATATTTATTTTCCCACTATAAATAAATATAGTTTTGTGTACTGTTCTCATCTGTTGTCCTGTGTACTTCTTGCAGTATCCCGTTTCATGGGTCCCTCCAATGGAATGAATATGGGAGGACTCGGTAACATGGGCTCACTGGGAGATGTGGGCAAGAGCATGGCCCCCCTGCAGAGTACCCCAAGAAGAAAGCGCAGGGTGCTGTTCTCTCAGGCCCAGGTCTACGAGCTGGAGAGACGGTTCAAGCAGCAAAAATACCTGTCGGCCCCAGAGAGGGAACACTTGGCTAGTATGATCCACCTCACTCCCACTCAGGTGAAGATCTGGTTCCAAAATCACCGGTACAAGATGAAGAGACAAGCCAAGGACAAGGCGGCCCAGCAACAGATGCAGCAGGACAACAATTCTTGTCAGCAGCAGTCCCCAAGGCGGGTTGCAGTCCCAGTGTTGGTGAAGGACGGAAAGCCGTGCCAGGCTGGCTCTAACACTTCCACAGCTGCCCTGCAGAACCACCAGCAGCAGGCAGCCGCAGCCCTCACAGTAGCCACCAACAGCTTGGGGCAGCATCAAAGCCACCAGACAAACAGTGCAGGTCAATCTCCAGACATGGGTCAGCACTCCAGCAGCCCATCCAGCCTTCAGAGCCAGGTCACCAACCTGTCTCACTTAAACTCTTCCAGTTCTGACTATGGCACAGCCATGTCCTGCTCCACCTTGCTATATGGTAGGACATGGTGAAGGAAACCAGCCTCGGTGTCTCTGTCCCCAAACAACCCTTCTCATCTCTTCAAAAAATGGCAAAAAAAGAGAGAAAAAAAACTGCAGTACTTTGGGGGGGACGGATTTATAAGAGGGTTTCACTGAGCAATCCAAAAAGAGAAGGGGAAGGATAGAGATAGTTATTAAACTGGATGGATGGTACTCAAAACGTCAAATGGAGAGAAGGATTGGACTTCAAATACTTTTTCTATGGCCATCACCTGCCTGTACATAGGGCTATGCTAAAAGCTTGGGGACAATTCCTTACCCCATAATGACAATACTGTCCCCATCCACTTTAAAAAAGGGGCAGCGGTTGTATGTTATTTTTTAAGTTCGATGTGAAATTGTAATAATCTCTTTGTTGGACTTGGCAAATTTAGTTTTTAGAATTCTGTAAATTTTTGGTTGTGATGAAAAAAAAAATTCCAAGGCAATCGAGATTTTTTTTAAAATAGAAATTCAACTTTGGATGTTCATTATTTGACAGAAATCTGTTAACTGGCCCCTTTTCATAATATTGGATGCTGTATCTTGCCTAGTTATCTGGCTTCGATATAGATTATAACAAAAAAAATCAAATAAATTATGCACATTTGAATGAAGCGTTTTTTTTTTCCTTCTTTAACATAAGTTATATTAA